AGAGAGAGAGAGAGAGAGAGAGAGAGAGAGAGAGAGAGGTTTTCCTGTTCTCATTGGATCCTACACTTTAGAGAGAGAGAGAGATAGAGAGAGGCTTTCATGTTCTCATTGGATCTTACATTTTTTCATTTTTCCAAAGTATTTTGATATAATGAAAGGCAACCTAGGAAAAAGTTAAGGAATGTGTGGGAGGTGAGAACCAATTCTCTACTTCCAAAAAGGGATGATTTTCATATAAAATCCCAATGCACTTCTATCCTCATAAACAATTCCTTGGTTTGGGTGTGGATAAAGCAAATCCATTGTATATCAAGGTCCAAAACATGAAATTCGGCCTTTAATTTCAAAAATATTAAAATCCTTTAGTTTCAAAAACATCAAATATCATTACAATTATGAGATATATGCAATGATTTGTACATAAGGGTGACAATCATCTCAAGTACGAGATCCAGCAGGGAGCCGGGGGTTTAACATTAATTGTGCTAGAAGTCTGGAAAAGAGATTTACATTGACAAGTAAGGTCACAATCATCTTGAGTCGTCTCATGTGAAAAAAGATCTAGGTAAAAAAAAGACAATGATCTCACGTCATTAGATGTGAAATTTAATACGCACCTCAAGATAATACCATTAATTGTGTTGAAATTTCAATAATTTTTTTTTCTATATTTTTGTGCCAAAAAATGGCACATACCTTTTGTAATTCCAGATCTAACAGCTTGGTGTGTTCATAACCTCTGTGTAGAAATTAATATTACTATTTTATAGACGTGGCAAATTACAATGTACCATGTCCATACAAACTATTTGCCTTTAAAATAGAAAATTTATGGTAAATTGCAATTGGGAGTTCATTAAATTTATGGAACTTATATTGGATTAGCATTTTGAAACTTGGAACCCTATGATTATGTGAGAACATGCCCCATTATCGGTTCTGACTGAGAACTGGGCTGCCAATTATTCTCATTTTGGATCAAGTGATTACAATCTAGATTGGCATTTTTTAAAAACAGTGATTTCGATAAATGATTTCATTCCAGTGTTAGACAATACTTTTATGCTATTGCACTAGTCCTTAACAATTTTTATACTATATATATCCTATTGCACTAGTCCTTAGATGGAACGACATTTGATATCTCTTTGGTTTAAGACATATTTATTTTTATTTAAATTTTGGATCTCTTTGGTCCATTTTCACAATTTTTAATTCCTCCCGTACCCTTACCTTCGACCTTTTTGCAAGGGGGAGAGAGAGAAGGAGAGATTGTGGAGCTGCCAATTATATCAGCAGTGATTGTGGACATGACAATTAATAACCTTGTAAAAATTTTGCTTGTTCCTCTTCAAAATGTTAATGGATTTTTTCGTTGGTAAGTTTTCTTGCCATTTTCCTGATAATAAGGGGTCTAGATTTTGCAAGATTGAAACCTGTGACATTGATGTTGAGGATTGATGTCTTGTATTATAAGGAACTAGATCTACCAAGGTGGAGTCAAAAAGACGACTCGGAAGGGCCATTGAAAGCCCAAAAGGCCGAAGGCCCGTAGGGCTGAGACTTAATATATCCGTATAAGGGTATTTCGGTAATTTATACCATATATCTGAAACTTCATATATGTTCTTACGATTGGAGGTTTATCTAGGGTTAAAGGAAAAACGCATATTGCTATGTAATCAGAGAGGCGGGAGGAAGAGAGTTTTTTTTTGTAACCCTATTCTCCATTGCCAGTAAAAAAGTTCTCATCTCTCGTGGACGTAGGCACATTGCCGAATCACGTACATCATTGCATTGTGGTTGGTTGTCTTTTTTTTTTTGTGTTTGTTTATTCTTTCTAGTTTTCATGGATTGCTTTTCGTTTCTACCATTGATACAAAATTTATTAGGTCAATACTGGAGTTTGTAAAGTCGATTCTGATTTTTCAGAGCTTATAGCTTAGCCTCCATGCTTAATGTTTCCAGTTCTCTGTTAAAGGAAACATATAGCTAAGGAGAGACAGAAGCTTCATTGAATTCCAAGGCAAGCATTCGCATCTTGTAGAAATTATTTTGTTCTCAAAAGTTACATGCACATGAAGTCATGCACTTAGCTTGAAAAAGAGAGAGAAAAGTTAGATGCACATGTTGAAAGACCAAAATAATCACTTCATATTTGATGAAACATATGCAATATCCTTTCTCGAGTCAGTATTTCTAGCAGGGATATGGGATGCTTAAGAGAAAATATAAAATAAGATTGTTAATCTTGTTACAAAGTGATCACACATGCACCGTGGCCGCCAGATCCGAAATTGACCCACTAACGTTGAGCATATTCAAAGTTAAAAAAAAAAACAAAAATTGAAACCATGAAGATAAATAATATACCCTTGTCCACATGATTTCACATCGCATAACAAAAGTAATATAACCTTTTTGTTACTAAATGATTTAAGGGTATACAATCCCCCAGTAACTAATGCAAACAATTTTATTGTATACAAATCACTTAAGTAAACAACGTGGTTTCTAGTTTGTCGCATGAGTTCAATGTCACTCTTTGTGTGATCATGAAGGGCCTAGGGTCGTTGAAAGTCATCTCTGCATGTACTTACATGCACGAGAGATAAACATTAGAGGTGGCAATGGGCCGGGTGGCCTAGCCCTTAAAAAGCAAGGTTGGGCAATCACGACCAGAGGTTAGGGCTGGGTTGGGCCTGACTATGGCTTGTCCGACCTGGCCCTCCTTTCTTTGTTTTTTATTTTAACTTTTGTTTGATTTTATTTACCCTGACCTAGCCCAATACAGCTAGGGTTGAGTTGGGCCTGGGCCAACCCTATGAGAACTAGGGCCCGGCTAGGGTCAGGCCCGGTCCGTTGCCACCCCTAATAAATATAAATCAATTGAAATCCAATTATCATGGGGGAGCTCTTTATATGTCTCCTTCACATAATTTATGCATTGAATGGTTGAAAGTAAGCTATCACTCATTAATTATGACATTACAAATTATTTTGAGCACGCAACTAGCCGTTTGATCAAAGTTGAGATGCCTACAAATCACCAAACAAATGTAAAATATACGTATGGTGACATATAGAAAGGCTTTCCATTGTTGATGGGGAATTTTTTTGTAGAAATATTTCTCTTTTGGCTCAGGAAAAAGGTTAACCATATTTTTTTTTAAAAAAAAAATTAATTTTGTTGAAAATTCATTTGATTACTTTGAAAGTACCCTCAAAATTCCACCAAACAATCATGAGTCAGAATAGTGGAAAAAAGAGCAAAATGTTAAGTAGTTGATAAATTAATTGTATTTAGTGGAAAAAAGAGTAAAATGTTAAAGGAAAATAAGCTTGCAACTTTAAAATGTATAACTACGGATGCACCTCAAAAATCCATGGAAAAAGTTGTTTTAATGTTGAAAAACCTTCAGATTGATCGACATCGAGATGCATGAATATGAAAAATACAAAGATTTTGAGACTCAGAAATAATGCATCTTGCAATATATTATCTAGACCGTCCATTTTCAAAATTTTCATATGTTTATAGATCTACTTGATTTTAACCACTTTTGGAATTTAAAATTTTATAATTAGATATAAAAGTAGATCTTGAGATAATCCTAAGAATATTTTACATCAAAATTATATGTTATGATAAAATTTGACGGTGCACCTTAATTGGATTGTTTAAGGTTGCAACCTTATGGAAACCACACCCTATAATAAATAGTTGATAAATTAGGTGTATTTTTGGTAAGTTTTTTGGAAATATATGTAACTCTCCTCTCATTCAAATTCAGAATTTCCCAATTTGGATGGGGAATCAGTAGGAGCCAACTTATTATGAATTTAACGACTCGTTCAGTTCTACCGGTGAACCAAGCAAGTATGTTAGGAGACAAGGTGACTCGGATTGGCATAGAATCGCCCAATCCCTTCATATTTTATTCTTTATTTTTTATTTCTCAAAATTGAAATTATTATTTAATTATTCTTTTGGGTTGATTTTCATATTGGAGAGCCATTCCGATTACTGTTTTGGATCGCTGGTTCGTCAAACTAAACTAGAATTTGGAAGGCCGATTCATCCAACTCATCCAATATTTAAAACAGTAGACTCAAATATCAAATTATTTTAGTATTGTTTACAAAGAGACCATTTATCTTTTGCACATAGAGGTGACAATAATTCTTGTCTTTTAAATATCAAAATGGGTGGTTGTAAGAGTGTCATTGAATAGACATAAACTTCATGACTCACCCTAAGGTATCCAATTTAACATCTAAGAAGTAAGAATGATCGTGACCTCAATGCATCAAAGATAAAAGGTTTGGTTTCTATAAGGTTGCAACTTTAAACAATCCAAATAAAACGCACCTCCAAATTTTATCGTAATATGTAACTTTAGTGTAAAGAATTCTTTGGATTATCAGAAAATCCAATTTTGTCTCTAATTATAAAATTTTAAACTCTAAAAATAGTTAAAATCAAGTAAATCTATAAACATATGAAAATCTTGAACATAAACGGTCTAGATAATATATTACAAAATGCGCTATCTCTATGACTCAAAATTTTCTCTTTTTTTCATATTCATATATATCAATGTACGACACGATCAATTATAGGATTTTTCAACAATAAAAAAATATTTTCTAATGAATTTTTGAGTCGTTGTAATTCTACATTTTAAGGTTGATAAATCGTCTCTTTCTAGACAATCCCATTGGGGTAATAACACAAAAGTTTCCTGCGTTTCTTACTATAACAAGTCTAATCGCTGCGTTTCTGAATTAACAGAAAGAGATCTACAAATTTCTCAAAGAGGAGGCGGCTCCCTATTAAGCTTTCAAGCCTCCATCGAGTTACAGTCTCTCTGTAAAAGCGTCTCTCTCTTCGTCTGAAGCTTTACCTCGCCCAGTCTACAGGTACCTGTATCTCTCTCTATATCTCTTTCACCTACCCTCTCTCCAATCTTTCTCCTCTCTCTCTACAAATACTATCTCTCCTATCCCTTTGAATCCTGATTTATCTTATCTTTGTCATCTTGGCCTTTTAATTTTGGAGGAACAGCATGCACGAGTTCAATGGTGTTCAAATTAGGAGATCTGTGTCTTTGATCCCTTGATTCTGTTACTTCTTTTTTATGTAATGAATAATGATTCAATCTTAATTATCGAAAGGAAAAAAAATTAATGAATCAATCTTAGGGTTCCTTTGCATTTGTTCTTTTGATTCTTGCATACAGTGAAGTTCCTTTATTCCCTCATGTCCATTATCATGCGATAGTAATGCAATTGATCGATTCTGTTCTGTTCATTTTCTGGTTATTATTTTGAGGAAAAATTCATCAAATTAACTACTTCTGTACTTGTTTTATCTTTTTTGATTTGGAGTTAACTACTACTATTCTGGTCTGTTGATTTTTTTTTTTTTCCTTTTTTTTCCTGGCTCGGTGATTACGGGTTTTTTCATGTTGATTTACTGAGTAAATTATATCTGTGTATTGTATTTGTAGCCATTGAGGGAATTTCAGGGAAGTTTTATCATTTTCAGTAAATGTAGAAAATGGTCAGGCACTTTCTTCTTCCCGAAAGGAGCAGTACTTCAATGGATCTAATTCTAGAAACACCAACTTCAGAAACACATTTTCTTGTGCATCAAAATTTGTTATCTTTCACCATTTAGGTATTATCCCGTGAAAATCTCATTATTATACCGATGAGAACCCCATCATATAGTTACCAAACCATTTTGAGGCTTGTGTAAAGCCTTCATTATAGCATGTTTTAGGACCATATTTAACATTTTTTTGCCTCCTCTCTTGTGGTTTATACTCTTGTTTCCCATCAAATCCTCTTATATGACCTGACTATGTTATCTTCTCTAGTACTTAGGGTTAGGTTTTAGGGTCAGAGCCATTGCGGCGTAGAGTAAAGAATTGCTTCGATGGGGAAGAAGTGAGGCTAAATGTTTTTTTATTCGTGTAGTAAATAATTTATAATGATCATGTTAAAATTTGAGCCTACACATTGAAATATGGAAGAAATTATGTATCATTATTTTCTCAATCAAGTTTGTGCGTAGTGAGGTGGAAATCCATGTTTTATGGAGTTTTTGATTGGGAAACCAATATATTTGATCTGACTAGGGAAGAAGAAGCTGGGAGCTTAGATCTCATTGAAGAGATTTCTTCTTAGGGCTTCTGCTTACTTGGACAACTTAGAGTGGAAACATGCATTACTGAAATTCGCCTACTCAGAAAAAAAAAGAAGAACATTAAGACGGAGAAAAGTGGTCTGTATTTTATGTTTGTTCAACTATGCATGAGAGTTCCCCCCCCCCCCCTTTTTTAGGTTATTTAAGTGATCTGAACTCTTTTCGTGGCTTGGGGAAAGGGTGATCCTGATATAGGAGTTCGAAAATTAGCACGTGTGAACTTGTTGATGCAATAAACATGTTTCCTCATTATTTCTGTTTTGTCTTGTGAATTTCAAAATCACTTGATTAAATGATTTGTATTTGACTAATGTACTCATTAGATGGCTTAGAACTATGTAATAGTACAACTGCATAGAGAACATGATTTGTGGTCTTCTAAGAATTTGGTGAGTGGATATGTATTTGGTAATTGCTACTTGTACTCATACTCCAAGTTTGGTTTCATAGAATGGATGAGTGCTGTTCTATCCAGCTTATCGATGGAGATGGTGTCTTTAATGAGTCTGATCTTGATGATTATATGAAAGCTGTCAAGCTGGGCGATTGTGGTCTTTCCTATGCGGTTGTCTCAATAATGGGCCCTCAAAGTAGTGGTATGTGAATTTGTTGTTGTTTCACTGTTTACCTTTATGATTACAATATGGTTGAAATACTGCCACTATCCTAACAATGGAGTATTTTTTGTAACGTCTAAGGGTGGCATTTGAATACTGCTATTAAACTAAATGTTCTTGTTTTGCTGTTGACAATTTATGATTATAATGTGAAAAATAGTAGATGTAAAAAATAGTGGATATTTTTGTGCATGGTTATAGCGGAAATTCCTTAGGGAAAAGCCATCCACAGAGAATTTTGAGTGGCAGGATTTGATATGCTTGATTGTCATGGGGAATTTAAAATAGGCCAATTTTTTTAATGTGATATGTTTGTTTCCTTAATTAACTGATTCTCATGGACTTGGTGGTTGTTTCCTTCTCTTTTTAGAACTGTGATTTTCTGTCATCGTGTTTAGTTAATGATTTTTTAGCAACCATTCCTGAGAATTGTACTTTGTATAACTTTGTTCATTCTATCACCTATAAAGCAAGATGCAACTTGTACTCATTTCTTGTGTAAGTAAAAGGGTAATCTTTAGTTTTTTTTTTTTTTTGGTGTTCGTCTTTTGTAGCAGTTCTTTGATGCTGATGCCTTCTGATTTTAATTTTTCAAGTCTTTTCTGCGCTTTTTGACATTTGAAATATGATAGATGATAAAAAAAAAACAAAAGGAAAAGAACTGAAATGGTTTTTTTACAATTTCATTATTTCTTGTGCTCTTTTAACATGTGAAATCTTATTTTCGACAATTTTAAGTAAGTTATGTTCTTATATTTAACTTCAGGAATGCATTAAAGAGATGACATTCTTGCACACACGCGCACGCGGGGAGGAGTGAGGGATTATTGTGTGAGAAGGCTTTTACGAATATACAAAGTTGTATTTGACAATGTTCAGGAAGTGTTCCACATCTTAACACTGTCAAATTCAACTGTAGGACTTTATTCTGATCCACATACAAAGTACTACTTTCTGATCAACATCAATGCTCAGAAAGTTAAGGCTCTTCTTTAAATTTGTGAATGTATCTATTGTTGTGGATGTGGTTTGTACCTTGCTGGAGGTAAAGAGCAGTCATGGTGAATTACAAAGCTATTGTCTTTTAGAGTTCTTTTGTTATAGTAATAGCATTTTTGTTACAATAGTGATTTATCTTCTTCTTGAACAGGTAAAAGCACATTGTTGAACCATCTTTTTGGTACAAACTTCAGAGAAATGGATGCTTTTAAAGGAAGGTGGGTTTCTCATTTATTTTTATCATGTTCCATCTTAAGCTTATAAAAATTGTATTTAGTATGATGCATGGAATGCAAACATGTGGTTTATCAATATATACATTTTATCCACTCACTTATTTTTTTCCAGGAGTCAAACTACCAAAGGGATTTGGGCAGCGAAATGTGTTGGTATTGAACCTTGCACAATTGTCATGGATTTGGAGGGTACTGATGGGAGAGAAAGAGGAGAGGTGAAGCACCGTACATTGTTATTCTTCCTGAGAAATACTCTTTGAAAAATTCATCGTCCTCTGTTATAATGGTGTTGCTTCCATAGCTGCAACAATGAACTTATGTCAATTTTGCTTCAGAAATGAAATATGTGACATACTCTTGTAACTCAAAAGAAGTGTTTTATTTGGCTATGGATATGGGTGTTAGTTTCTGACATGGCGACCTTAGAAAATAGATGCTTTGATGTGCCTGCAAGAAAAAACAATTATTACAAGTAATTGAAGAAGAATGAACTAAGAATAATACCCGAGGAATTCAAATGTCTGGGTAACCAAAGGTAATTATGTTTTTTTGAGAGACTGGTGCTATGGAACCATCTTATAGCATGAAGTTATGATTTGGAATATTAACCTATTTTACTGGGTGTGATGTCCAATCACCCAAGAAGATACCTCTTACCAAAAAGAACGCAATAATACGTCGTTGAAGTACTAAAATTAAGCATGCATTATACCTAAGGTATAAAGGGTTAATGTAGAATATGAATTCCTAGTATATCATCTGGTAATTTGTTAATCTCTGTTGGCTTATAGTTATTTCTTTTGTAAAGTTTTTTAGTGATGAACAAATTAACAAATTGTATTCTGATTTTCCTCAAAAAAAATAAAAAACAAGTTGTATTCTGACCTTCCGAATCATAGGGTCCAATTTGTTTACTCGTCTGCTTTAATGGAAGCAATCCCCGAAGTGGACTGTAAAACAGAATATGGTACTGATCACTTGGCTTTCATTTTTACACATTGGGTAGTGTTAGAAGAGCACTAATTATTCATGTAAGAGTTCATTATCTGGTGCAGTGTAGGCATGTGCTATTTGATAAAATTCTAATCACTTTGATAAAATTTACTGGCGTAGTGCTATTTGCAATCTTTACCGGTTCTTATGAAATTCTAATCACTTGAAGTTTGGAGTGTCCAATCTTTTCTTTAAGGCACACTTAATAAAAGTACTAGAAATCTAATTCGCAGAAAATAAATGGACCAAAATACTCACAAAACTTTCGAGGTATTTTTTTTGTGAATTATTTTTTGTCAATTTATTTTTTGTGAATTAATTTTTAATATTTTTATTAGGTGCGCCTATTTTTCAAGGGTAGATGCTCCAAATATCAAGTGATTTGGATTTTTAAAAAGAATTAAAATTTAAAGATGAAACACGTTTGTGATCATTGGATCAGCATATATTCAATCTGGGTCATTGGGCGTATATTATTGCATCAGCCCATTGGCTGACATGATCTTTTCCGTATATATTAAACAGCCCTCTTAATATTTCTTTTTCTTTTTTGGCCGGATCAGTGGGTGTGCTATCCACCCCACCAATCCAGTGTTTTAAAACATCAAGCATTTAATATTACAATCTCTGATGATTACTTGTCAGTTTACTTGCCGAACTGCTATATAAATATTATTTATTGACATAAATGTCAAAGTTAGTCATGAACCAACTTTGGTTCTCCTGAATTGTCGATAGAAGGATTTCACTAATGTGCTTGTGAAATTCATAGTCATTGTCTCAGAATATTTTTCTTTCTGTTGAAAGTTTGGCAACTACTATCTGTGTTCTGATAATTCTTTGTGGGATGGCAATGATATAGTGTTCTCTATCTTTTCAGGATGATACTGCTTTTGAGAAGCAGAGTGCTCTTTTTGCTTTGGCAGTTTCTGATATTGTACTGATAAACATGTGAGTCTTGTAAATCTTTATATGATTGAGCTTTCTCATACTTATTTTTCCATATAGTCATCATGTATCTGGCTACAAATTGGATTCCGGAAATGTGAGTGCTTCATATGAATTACTCCTTGTGGCAAATGTTGATAAATAGGTGGTGTCATGATATTGGTCGTGAGCAGGCTGCAAACAAACCACTTCTAAAGACCGTATTCCAGGTAATTCTTTTGTTTTTTTCCTGATAAGTAGAAATTTAGGCATTTCTATATTGCCAAGTCTTCAATGGTTAAGAAACCTGATGAAAAAAATAATAATAATAACTCTCCTTTTATTGTTGAAAACAAAAATTCTCTTTCCTTGAATAGATTTGTTTGGCATCTGTTGCTGAATGGTTCTCTGTTTGCCAGGTCATGATGCGTTTATTTAGTCCGCGTAGAACAACATTGCTATTTGTTATTCGTGACAAGACAAAGGTATGTAGTTTCAACATTTATATGCCATTTGTACTTTCCAATGGACGAGTTTTCCCATGCTTCATGTAGTTTTATAAGTATTTATTTAGTGTTTCATGTTGCATATAGACACCGTTAGAGCATTTGGAACCAGTTCTCAGGGAAGACATACAGAAGGTACCTTTTCCACATTTATCTAAAATATTTTGTTATTGACTTCCATCTTTCAACTGACACTTCCCTAATTGTTTTCCTTACAGATATGGGATACCGTTTCTAAACCCCAAGCTCATAAGGAAACTCCACTTAGTGAATTCTTTAATGTGAGTGGATGCCTATTAGTCTACTCTTTTGTTGCATCTATGTCCTTGTATGATTGTAACAGCAAATGATATTTAGGTGGAAGTCACTGCTCTGTCCAGCTTCGAAGAGAAGGAAGAACAATTTAAGGAGCAGGTATCTTGCAACTATTACATTAATATTGTATTCTATGTAGCGATCTGCTAGAGTTTCTTCACTTAATGGGCATAAGTACTTCTTGGATCATGGGTTATTCTTGATTGGTTTGTAAAGATGCCAAAATTATCATCTACAAATTAGAATGATAAGAGGGAGATTAATCATGATCCTTGGTAGCAGCTTTTGCCTGTAAATTTATTGTTTAAACTCTAAGTATGCTATTGTTAGCAATATGGCTTGGGTCAAGATAGTACAGGCTGGGTTTTCATAGCACAACATCTCAAGTTCCATTCCTATGTTACCGTGTCAAAAAAAAAAAAACTCCAGGTACTATTGTAATGATTCTGTTATTTTATGCCTTGTAAAGGTTGCATCTCTAAGGCAGCCGTTTTTCCACTCCATTGCTCCTGGAGGACTTGCTGGTGACAGAAGAGGTGTTATTCCTGCCTCTGGATTTGCCTTTAGTGCTCAGCAGATATGGAAAGTTATTCGAGAGAACAAAGACCTAGATCTACCTGCTCATAAGGTAATGTAATTCACATCTTCTTTTCTTAATGCTATCTGCAGATAATCATAAACCCTTTGAAATTGTCTTCTGGGGTGATACTATCAATTTACAATGTTGTCATTTAGGTCATGGTTGCTACAGTTCGCTGTGAAGAGATTGCAAATGAAAAGCTTGGCCGTTTAACTGCTGATGAGGTATTGAGCATTAATTCCCTGGACTTGTTCTCTTGGTAGTATTTCATGTAGCAACTATGAAATTTGCAGTTACATGATTTCCTACTCTGGATGCACCTTTAGGGCTGGCTTAATCTGGAGGAAGCTGTGCAGTCTGGTCCAGTATCCGGCTTCGGCAAAATACTTAGCTCTATTTTGGATACATATTTCCAAGAGTACGCCAGTTCCCTTTTCCGTAATTTCCTCTGTATCAAACTACTTCCCTTAACAATGGCGATTGCTGTTTTTATTTTGACAGTGAACAACCTAAAAACTTGCTGAGGCACTATTACATTTCGTTTATATGTCCCTAAATATAACATTTCTATCATAGTGTTTGTCCAGTCTATGGCATAATGCACACAAAAGAGTTATCCCGGGGCAACTTGGAAATTCAAAATCTCATTTGCACCATAATGGGGGCTCGGGTAGAGGGTGAACAGCTAGAGGAGAGTCTTGAGTAAGGATTAATATGGAAGTCTGGATGTAAGGAGTGCTCATGAAAGAAACAGGAAGGGGCTTGGACTTTCATTGTTTAGGGGTTAAGCTTTAACATTGCGGATGCTTATAAACAATCAAACAAAAAAAATAAAAAAAAGAAGAAGTTGGGGGGATGCTAGCAAGATTAGTTCTTAGACAGCATTGACTGTGGGACTGATAAGTATAGCTCTTGATTTTCAAGTTTAGCATACGTATTGAGGCTTCAGGCTTAATGGTTAGATAAGGAATGTTATGAACTGAAAGGTGGGTTGGGTTTATTGGACTGTGGTTTAAGGGTGCTCTAAGGGATGGGAAGTTTGACAATCTGAATTGGCTCAAAGTATTCATTATCCAGACTATCCCATGTTCGGCTTTGATAGGACCATTTGGATGGGGGGGGTTTTTGGGGTGTTTTCTATCAGAGTCGATCTATTCCATCACCATGTGCGAATGATTGATTAGTTCAGCTGCACTTATAGACGTCTGCACTGCCTTTCTTAGGAAAGCTCGTCTCAATTTTTACTCACTTTCTACTCATTCAAATTTCCTATGTCTCCCTTTTTTTTTTAAGTTTATTATGCAAGTTCCTCCCTGAAGTGGTTGATTGGCTATATTCTGACACTTCTTTTATTAGTTTTACAAAAAGATGTAGATGTCAACAATTTATTTTGGTTTTCTATGGGATAGTTTGATGCTCGAAATAGTGATCGAATAACTTCTACACCTCGAGCATTTATTTATTCTCGGTTGAATTTTTTTTTTATTAACATTCTTCCAACAGATACGACATGGAAGCTATTTACTTTGATGAGGGTGTAAGGTCGTCAAAGCGACAACAGCTAGAGTCTAAAGCATTGCATGTAAGTTAACTTTTTTTTTTTTCTTGATGTTCATCCTTTGATGGAAAATTCTTCGTTGATGCTGCGTTCTAATTTTGCATGGTGTAGCAAACCACAAATTACAAAAATACTTAATGAAGGAATGCTCTTTTGGCAAATCTTTTGGAAAGTCAGAAATTTTTTGTCTCTTTTGATGAGAAATTGAAGTTGTACGTGAGCGCATCATTAGTTTGAAATTTGCATTAGTTAGGATATAAGCTCATAAATTCAGGAAAAAAAAAGGACATAGGCTCCTCATACATGCCTTCTCATGAATTTTATTTTGCCTTTTATAGCTTGTGCATCCTGCTTACCAAGCCATGTTGGGACATCTCCGCACCAGAACTCTAGAAAAATTTAAAGATGTTTTAGAACAGTCACTCAAGAGAGGTGAAGAGTTTGCTTCATCTGTTAGTGATTGTACCAAGTCTGCTATGCTTGAGTTTGATCAGGGATGTGCAGGTGAATTTAGAATCTTTTTTTATTGCTAATTCTCATACTGCTTTACAATGCAACCTCTAGTACTTGTGCCCTCGAAATTTTTCTTTCTTGCTCTCTATATCACTTAAGGCTACTTCTGCTTTCTTGTAGTGTTTGTGTGTGCATGGCTGCACAGCATGTGTGCTTGTCACTTTTAGTGATCCATAAGTACAGTATCAACAATTTTTTTTTTTTCTTTTCCTAGGTATCTGTTGACTTTGGGAAATGAATCTCACTTTTGCTATGGAATTTATTCTCATGGTTTTCAGTGCCTTTTTTTTATCAAGTGTATGATGGTGTTTAAATTGCCCTGTATCATGTGTTGCTTCCAGATGTGGCTATTAAGCAAGCTAACTGGGAGTCTTCCAAATTCCGTGAAAAGCTTCGACGTGATATTGAAGCACATGTAGCATCCGTTCGAGCTGCCAAACTGTCAGAAATTACAGCACTTCATGAGGTAGCCATTTGGAGTTAAGCAAGATAGATACTTTCTTACGCTATTACATTTCCTTGTGATTTCATTTCCCATACTAAATCATAGGACAATTGAGGTTCATCCATCCATCCATTCATCCACCAATGCCATCCATCCATCCCTTCCATCTGTCCATCGATGTTTTCATCTATGGATGGACAGACGTCATTAATGACTGAATGAATGCAGAATGGATATAGATTGATAGCAGCTAGGACGGTTTGTAATACTCAAGAATATACTACGGACATTTCTAGGGTGGTCTTGCTAGACCGCCCTACTAATATCATGTTGCACCTATAACATAGTTAGGGGGACTTCTTTGATCTGAAAATCTTTAGACTGATTCGCTTCATGAACAATTTCAAAGGAGAAAAGGATATATAAAATGAAAAAGGTTTCGAACTCTTGAAACCCTTGATCTGGTTGTCCCTCAAATGGACGACAGATATATAACAAGCAAAAAGGTTCTGAACTCTTGGAAACCATAGATCTGGTTGTCCCACAAATGGACAACCAGATCAATCTTTGAGGGGGATCTGATCTGGGGCTTTCTTGATCTCCAAATCATTTTCTTTTTAAATTGCTCTCAGGGATGAGTAGGATGATCTGAAACTTTTCAGATAAAAGATCCAAGTATTATTTTTGTGCTGTGGAGCATGTGTTGATGGCAGTGTTCGCAAAATCGAACTGGAACAGTTAACCGGACATAGGCCTGGAAGCAGTTTAACTGGCCTAACCGGTAAACCGGCCAATTCAACCATTCTAACTAGGCAAGTCCCGGGCAGTCAAAAAAGTATTGAAAAAAAATTAAAAAAATACAAAAAAATCTAATAAAATATGAATAGCATATAAAGAATGATTAAAACAAAACACATTCAAATGAAGTTGAAAATTAATGAAAAGAATGGATTTTAACCCATTTTATATTTTCCAAGGGCTATTTTTACAATTTTCTAAAAAAGATGGGAAAATATAAAAGTGAGTATTAATGACAAAATTTTTTTTTAATCTTTACCATAATGTAAAGAATATTTAAAAATGCATTGCAAATCAAATTCCTTATTTTTGAGAATTTATATATATGTTTTTGAATTTTTTTAAAAAAATACCGGTTGATCACCCTAACTGCCCAAAACCGGAACCGGCTGGTTTCGATCTAACCGGGCGGTCGGCGGTTAGATCGGCCGATTTTGCGAACAATGGTTGATGGTAGTCTAGCAAGACCACCAATTCTTTTCCCTTATATTATTTCACCCTTTCTGATTACGTCATGGTTTGGTGATGTTCTGTTCTACAGAAGCGAATTACTGAAGCCCTAGCTGAACCTGTGGAATCACTACTCGAAGCTGCTGGTCAAGATACATGGGCATCAATACGGAAGCTCCTTAAACGTGAGACTGAGGCAGCTGTATCAGAATTTTCGGCTGCTATTACTGGTTTTGAAGTAGAAAAAGCAACTGTGGATAAAATGGTGGCCGATCTTGTTGTGTTTGGGAGAAGTGTGGTCGAGAAGAAAGCCAGGGAGGAAGCTGGAAAGGTTCTCATGCGCATGAAGGATAGGTAAGAAACTGATTCAATTTGCCCTTTGTTTTACATTGGCTCCTTTTTTGTTCTTTTCTAATTAAAAATTCAATGTGGTTACTCATTTAATGAGTTTTCTATTGTTTGACAGGTTTACAACAGTGTTCAGTCATGATAGTGACTCGATGCCTAGAGTTTGGACGGGGAAGGAAGATATTCGGAAGATCACCAAGGATGCTCGTTCTTCGGTATTTAGTTTTCTTGAAGTTTTGAAATTTGTTTTACAGTTTTCTTGAAGTTTTGAAATTTGTTTTACATATGAAATGCTGAATTATACTTTTGGCAGCAATGTTGATTAAAGGATAAGAGGATATATATTTCTAGGCGTTGCTAATTGCTTTGTAAATTTCTGGCTATATTTTCTTTGATTTCCTTGTGCTCACTGTAGGGACAGCTATTTAAATTCTTGGGTCTGGTTTTAATTCTTTTTTGCTCTCCAATCTTCTTGAGATGACTAAACTCTGATTTGTTAACTCACAATTTCTAGTGCACCATTTGATTTCCAGGCCAAACTGCAATTGGACCTATTTGAAATTGTCACTTGCAATTTGACCTCAAGATTTGTTTATTTTCAAATTTTGTTTATTTTCAAAATTGAAATGATTTGCAATTGCCATTGCACTCCCAAATTGATTTTCTTTGCAAAACTAACTCAAGTTGTTTTTGGAAAAATTCGAATTCTCTCTCTCACACCACCACCACCACCACGACCATCTTGCATAACAGAATAACAAATTATAATGTTAATTGAAACAATAAGTAATTGGCAACTGATCATATTGCTATTTGGTCAATTACAAATGGGGGAAGAAAAAAACTCTATTAGACCAAATTTTGAAATCAAATGATGTCCAAATGTTATGTCTTGGCCCTAATATTCTATGTACTTGTCTCCATTCTCCACAATTGTTCTTAGAAATGGACATCACACCATAATCATTTCAAATGTTAATAAAGCACCTCAAGGTATTTTGGAGATTAGTGTAACGTACTTCCAATAATTTTAAACTCGAAATTGTGAACCGCCTAAATCATTTTTCATTTCCAACCCTCCAGCTTAATGTTATCCTCTTCACCGACTTTTTCATTGTTTTCACCAATAAAAAGAAAACTTTTCCATTGTTTTCTCCAAGCTCTTGACTATTTTTGGCACGTTATGAAGGATGCAAAGACAGAAACTAACAGTTGCTCGCATTTCAGTCCCTGAAGCTTCTATCTGTAATGGCTGCTATACGTATGGATGAGAAACCAGATAAGATTGGGAATACGTTGTCATCCTCTCTTATGGATGGTTCCAGTGCCGCTGTTTCTAGCAAGGACAGGAGTATCACATCTGCAGATCCACTTGCTTCAAGCACATGGGAAGAGGTACTTACAGAAGCTTAATCATTTTTGCTTCAAACTCTCTCTCTCTCTCTCTCTCTCTCATACACCCATACACACACACACAAACACACACTTTTCTACCCAAGACACGAATGAATTCATTTGAGATTCATCTATTTGTTTATTTTGTTCATTTTGTTTCTTTGACCAGGTACCTCCAACTAGTACATTAATAACTCCTGTCCAGTGCAAGTCTTTGTGGAGGCAGTTGAATACAGAGACAGAATACACAGTTACTCAAGCTATTGCTGCACAGGCATGTTTCCTTCTAGGAATTACGCATCCCATTCATTGTTTTATTTTAAATTGAACATTCGTCCCTATATCTTAAGAAATTTTTAGTGGTTTTGATAAAAGGAGATTTTTTTACTGATAAGTTCAGAGCTCTGCAAACCTCTGTCAATATGTTTAGTATCTGTATTATAACTATTGATTTTTTAGTAGATGTTTGAGAGTCTGGTCTGAAGTAATGTCCCCTTTCAAGGAAACAATGGGAGTAAACATCCTGATCTGCAACAGTTCTAGTGATGATTGTCTAAGTTACCTGAGAATAATTAAAAAAAAAAGGGGTGAAAGCAGAACAGAATATTTATCTTACCCAATAAAGCTGAACTTCTTTTGCTCCTTGTATAATTTTCAGTGATTGTTCTTACAAAAGTTTTATCTGCAATGACAAAACTATGGACTCTCTCTCTCTCTCTCTCTCTCTCTCTCTCTCTCATGCGCGTGCGCATGCACACAAAACATGTGTGTGTGTATGACTTTATTAGTTCCTGTTTTAATATTATATTATTTTAATGCTCTTAACATTTTCAGGAAGCTAGTAGGCGTAGTAACAACTGGTTACCTCCTCCATGGGCGATTGTTGCCATGGTTGTCCTTGGCTTCAACGAATTTATGACACTATTGAGGTAATTACTGGACATGAAACTCCCAACATTCTCATCACCTTTCAGAAAGATTTTTTGCTTCTGATAATAATCGTGTGTATATATATCACATTTATTCTTCTGTGAGATGTGCTATTTCTCAAACTCACTAAATGGTATTTCATGTTCTGATGAATAGGAATCCCCTTTACTTGGGAGTGCTTTTGATTGTTTTCTTATTGGCCAAAGCTTTATGGATTCAGCTTGACATTCCTGGGGAATTCCGAAATGGCATTGTGAGTAGTACTCTCTCTCTCTCCCCCAACCCTTCGGCCCGCCCCTATCTTTTCTCTCTCTCTCGCACGCACGCACACACATGTGATGATAAGCAAGCTACATTGGAGATCCCTACCCCCATAATCAGTGATATCCCTTAGTTGAGATTTTGTTCGGGGATGCCATATCTAAGTTTTATATGTGCTTTGAGTGGTTTCAGCTCCCTGGGCTTCTCTCAATTTCTACAAGGCTTTTCCCCACCATCATGAACATTCTAAAGAGGCTGGCAGATCAGGGCCACAAAGATCCTGAACACCCAAGACCGCCTCTTAACTCGACGAGTTTTAGGAATGGGACATATGATACGCCTATGGCAGATTTTGCAGCAGATTCATCATCATCATCTTCTTCACTGTCATCTTCATTATCGCGATTATCATCATCAAGAGGTAACCTAGAGTACTCAGCTTCTTTGAAGCACAGGCAAGTAGGCAATAATTCATCGGAGGTGGAATATTCTTGAATTGGCCATATTTTCAAAGTGAATATCATGATTTAGGGTGGATGTAATAGATGATTCATGCTTATATCATATATATTATAGTGATGAGCAATAGTTTTGTTGAGTGTGAGGTGGTGCGTTGAAAGTTTTCTATGTTTGGAGAGGTGAGGAGAATAATAATATTTTCCTTGTACTCTGAGATGCATTGAGAGCATCAATTTATTTATTTTTATTTTTTTCCTATTCCTGGTGGATCTGTTTGGGCTCTGACTCAAGAATTGCTCGCTGCTGCAAGGACTCAACTTTGGTGCTCTGCCCCATTGGTGGAGTGTCTTCTAAAGCATGATATAAGGTGTTGGCCTTCGGGTAAAGTTTGTAATTGTCAAATATTAGTAGATACCTTTGTTTTGTATGGATGGTTCTCATCTTGATTGGCACGAATGGAAATATTTCTTTCTACTGAACTGCTCATTCTTGAGAAATTAGCATGAATGGAAGTATTTCCTTTGGCATTGGACTGTTTATTATAAGTGGCTAAAAATTTCTTCACTTTCTTTGATCCATAATTTTTCTCCTTTCTTTACCCAAATCCTCCATAAGTTAATCATTCCTAGCACTACCCTTTGCAAAGCATGCTTAATTTTGCCCTAGTAAGTCCAATACATAGCTTGGGTACAATAACAGGCTTCTGACTAGAAATAAACAGAATGGCCTATGGGATCTCTAGGGTGCGCGGTGCGCCCCAACTTATATGTCGAGGAAAGGAAGGGGATTCGCTTCGAATCGAAGGAAAACCATCAGAGAGGGTCTCCCAAGAGTGTGTTTGATTTTGTCGATGCCTTTTCACCATAAAAGCCGGTTTCACAGGAGTCACCAGCATATCGGATTTACATGTAAACATGGCCACAATCTCCGACATGGGTGGCCTGAGGCTGGAATCTGGTTGAAGACATAATAGAGCCACATGAATTATTTGCATAAAATCTTTTTCTTCAAACCCATCAGCCTTCAACTTTGGATCGATTAGATCAAGAATCCTCAATCTCTCATGTAGCTTCCATACCTACCAAAAAATAAAAATCATTCAAAGAGAACAAACTTGTCTTGCATCATGTAATGAACATCCATTTTAAAAAAATAATAATTTGGAACTAACATGGAAGGTTCTTTCCCCGTATGTTCATTAGACATTTAGTCCAAACTACTAACATTGGTATAAGAATGAAGGTAATTATCATTATAGTTTTCCATCAAAATATATATATTTTCTCAAGATTCACAAGGAAAACCAGGAAAAGATTGTAGCTATAGGACGATTTGACCACAATAGCGCACAAAAAATAAAGTGGAAATTTAGGTAAACTCTAGAAAATGAAGAGGCAACTCATATTCAGTAGACATGATGCCTATAAAATACCAATTATATTAGAAAAGGAAAAAGCTTATATAAGGTTGCAACCTTCAAATGTAGAATTACATATGCACTTCAAAATTCCATCGGAAAATATTATTTTAATATTGAAAAACCCTCTAATTGATCATCTTGATATCGAGATATATGAATTTGAAAAAAAAAAGATTTTGCGTCTCAGAAATAGTGCATCTTGCAACATATTATCTAGACCTGTCCATTTTTAAGATTTTAATATGTTTATAGATCTACTTGATTTTAACCAATTTTAGATTTCAAAATTTTATAGTACGATATGAAAATAGATTTTGAGATAATCCTAATAATTTTGTATACCAAAATTACATATTATGATAAAATTTGGAGGTGCGCCATAATTGAATTGTTTAAGGTTGCAACCTTATATAAACCACACCCATTAGTAAATAGCAAGAAAAGAAAAACTGTTATCATTGATCTAAGCTAATGTACCAAGGGCACCAGAAGGTCATAAAGAGAATTTAAATGAATGCAATTTCAGATTTGTTTCCTCGTTGCTCGTGGCTCAAACTTGAAGAGAATAAAAAAAGGATTTCTGATAACTACAACCATTCAAACAGATCACCTTTGACCCAAATACTCATTTTGGTGCTTGAATGCCAGATATGCTACAGAAATGATTAAAAGAAACAAGAAAAAAGAAAAACTGATTCTATTAATGTAGAAAGAGAATTTCATAGAGGAGGGATTATACGCTTACATATTCTGGAAGATACTGTTTATCTGGTGATAAAGTGAGATCGGTGTTCTTCCTGGAACTCACTATTTCAAGTACCAGAACTCCAAAACTATAAATGTCAGCCTTCTCAGATAATTCTCCTCTAATTGCATACTCTGGAGCTGTGTATCCTCTGAAAAACAGACTTACCAAACTTTAGAGAACTAAGCAACTCTTCGTCCATGTATCCTTGTTTTATATTTGTACACGTCTTTCTGGTCCTTTATATGCTAAACAAATGAAGTACAAATATATGGATCAGAAGCAAAATAACTCACAATGTCCCTGCAAATTTTGTGCTAAGGTAAGATAGATCTTCAGGGAAGAACCTTGCCACCCCGAAATCTCCAATCCTAGGTTGGAATTTAGCATCAAGAAGAATGTTGCTCGCCTTTATGTCTCTATGAACGATTCTGAAATGTGAATCTTCATGGAGGTATTGCAGACCCCTTGCAATTCCAAGAATAATTTGGTATCGAATTTGCCAATTAAGGAATTTATCACTTTTGCCTGCTTCCAAATTCCAATAAAACGCTATAATCAGTTTCATAATCCCCGAATTCAAAAGATAATCCCAAAGTAAAACTTTTCAAAGAATATTACAAGCATCGGCAGAGTAATTACCAAACATTTTCAATGGTTTTAAGTCGGTCATTCAAAGAATGTGAAAATCATTGAGAACAATTGCAATATATTTTCATGGGTTCTTAATCAAATCATTGAAATAATATTATTAGCATTAGGAGAATAATTGGCAAAGGATTTATTTAGATGGCGCGACCATATAGAATGCGGTCTAGGCTTCCATTGCTCATGTATTCGTAGACCAGTAGTCGTTCAGGCCCATCAGAGCAACAACCGAGCAAGCGAACCAAGTTTTTGTGCTGGATGCTTGTTATCAGTCTAACCTCTGTTAAAAACTCAGATTCACCCTGTTGAGATTTGTTTAGAGACAATTTCTTTATAGCCACCTTCTGCCCATCATCTAAAACTCCCTGAACAATTCAAACCCAAAAAGAAGGAAACACAAGCAAAGAATCAAGGGAAACACCAAAGCTCAAATAACAGCATCAAAGAAAAATAAAATTTCGCTTTTCTGTATTGACTACAATTTGATATGAACGTATGAAAAATTAGCCGCTAAAATAAACTTGCAAGTTATGCATTGAAGTGATAAAAATGTATCCTTTTCACTAACTCATCGAAAAATGAACCTCAAAGACAGGACCGAATCCTCCACAACCAAGCATGTTCTCTTGTTTGAAATTGTCGGTCGCCTTCTTTAGGGTTGCATAGCTGAAGTAGCTCACCATTCGAAGGTTTCCACTAAAACAATATGCTGCTGCAGCTACAAAATTAAAATAAAAGAAGTAAAATAGAAGAAAGAGAAAACAAATTTAAGCATTACTCGTACTCTCTTCTGTGTGAGTGAGTGCACTAGCATGGTGCATGTAGAAAATTACATAGAAAGCAAGGATGAAGTTCAAAGAAATAGAAAAGACATATTCTGTGTCTGTCGTGCGCATACAAAACTAGAAAGGAAGCAAAGAATAAGTTCAACGAACAAGAAAACAATCTCTCCCTCCCTGTCTCTCATCCAATGCAATTAGTTACCTGTTGCTTGCTTTTCTGATCTCAGCTTCTTCACAAAGTCCTGGAATTTGGTGGATTTCAAGAAACAAAGAATGGAAGTGACTGATAACACCAAAAGAATCAATCCCCCAACAAAGAGAACTATTGCAGAGGTTTTCTGATGATCCCGATCCTTTGATGTGATTGATGAAGGCCCTGGTTCACCGGCTGGAGCACCACCTACATGCATGCAAGCAAGCAATTCGTCATCATCATCATTATCATCTTTGACGTCGTCTTCGTCGTTGTCTTCATTATTGCTCCTATAGTCGTTATTGTTGTTACCACTACTATTATCATTACATTTGATCTCTTAACATATCGTTGTTGTCATCATCATCATCATCCGAACCTTATTCCAACTATTTGGGGTCGGCGATACAAATCTTGTTCTGCCATTATGCTCTATCTAAAGCCATTCCCTCAGCCAGAGAATAAGTAACCATATTTCTCCTCACTACTTCCATCTATGTCCTTTTTAACATTTCGAATGCTTTCTCGAACCTTCCACACAAATCAAATCGCTCATCCTTGTAGGTGTAGTATTAGATCTACGCCGCACATGGCTAGCCTACATAAGTCTACTTTCTCTCATCTTAAATATTTTAGTAGTGCCTGTATTTTATTTAGTATACTTTACCTCTTAATGTGTGCTAAATAAAATACATACACTACTAAAATATTTATGAATAAGGATTTGCAAAATTATATCCATGAACAAAATTCATTTTTAAATAAAGTTTTTCTCCCTATTATATTCTAGATAAAAATTATCTAAGGTGGTTTATCTTGTAGCATAAGCCCAATGGCACGGATTGAAGGAAAGGATGTGATCTGGACAGTAGAGAACGGCAAGCACACTTTTCCCAATATTTTCAAAGTGTACCCATTTTTTTTCTATTTGGAGTGACTAGATGAGGTCCACTTGTTTGTCGAAACACTGGGGGGAAAGGAAGGAATCCAACACTCACGGCTCTTTGTTCATTTCGGAAGCTTTCAGTCTAAGCTTGTACTATTCCATAGCCTGACAGGCTTACATGATCAGTTTTTATAAATTCATTTACCAATGTAAAACAGCCATCTCGACATTTTGGTTAGCTCTAATAAAACATGAGTCTTGATATGACCTATGAAAGTGAGTCGAAAATAATATCATATATTAACTATGGCACGACAAAAAGATCATTCATTAATGGGTGCAGTTTGCATACGGATGCATCTGTAGGTGTAGAGGTACGGTGCACTTTCAAATTTTATCATGGTATATAATTTTGATGTAAAATGTTCTTATGATTATCTCAAAATATATTTTTATACCTAATTATAAAATTTTAAATTTCAAAATTAGTTAAAATCAAGTAGATCTATAAACATATGAAAATCTTGAAAATGAATGGTGTAGATAATATGTTGTAAAATGCATTATTTTTTCGACCAAAATCTTTTTATTTTTCATAGTCATACATCTCGATGTCGAGATGATCAATCAAAGGGTTTTTCAACATTAAAACCACTTTTTTCGATGGATTTTTTAGGGGCATCGTAGTTCTACATTATAAGGTAGCATCATTATATAAAATTTTTTCATTAATTATAGCGTGACAAAAACAAGAACATCATTCATCAATTAAGGCCAGAAGCGTTGCTTGTACTGGCATGTGATATTGCTCCACCTATCCGATCAAAATATGATGGGTGCATGTCTCAAGATGAATATAAATTACAAAGAACAATGACCGAAAATTGTGGTTCCCTCTTATGTGTATGGTTTTCCAACAATAACATGGTCAAGAAATATAAATAAAAAATAAAAAATCGAGAGAGATGTAAAATATACAGAGAGAGGTGCAAATCCTCACCTTGTTCAATAAGGGCCTCTCTCACTAAAGGGTAATTCTGATATTTCAAGAAACAACCATCATACACAACCTTACCCTCCACTTTCGGCAAACAAATCCCAAGCAAAGCATCTGCCGCCCTTTGCATACACAACCGGCAACCATCCACTGCCACGCTCCAACACTGTGCCAAACCATACACACCCGCCACGGCATCACCTCTAACCCCAAATCCCTTCTTCCCATCAACCTCTGCGACAAGCTCCGCAACCAAAGATGAAACTTTCGCCGTAAAGTTCACCGGGACTTCCTGGATTTCGCCGCATTCCGGCCCGTTCACCGGAAAAGGATTACCGGTGCCGGAAAATTTTCTATCCTGGTAAAAGAGCACGCAGTTCTCAGTGTAAACCCTAGCTTCTGATACGCCATTACAGTCGCTTAGAGCTTTGGTTTTTGCTTCACTGATACAGAGGGAGCAATTTCGAGGGTTTTGATCGCCTCTGCATTGGGCAAAACCATAGATTTTAGAGTTTTTTCCTTTGATGCAGAAGCCGCGGCTTGAGGAGTTTGTTGAGGATTCAAGGCAATCTAGAGTTTTGTTTAGGGTTTTCTGCAATGGAGGTGGGAGGGTTGTCCCATTGCATTGAAATGAGGTTAGAGGGAGAGATGAGGCTCTGGTTGTGAGAGGCATTAAGAGTAGGAGGATTGGGAGGAGGTAGAGGGAGAGATTTGAAGACATTTGGAAGCAGGATGGAGTTGCAGTAAAGAGAGGGAGAGAGAGAGAGAGATAGGGAAAGATGAAAGAGGCCCTATATTCACTTTTGAGATAGAGAATTAGAAAGAGAGTGGTTTTTTTTTGTTGTGTAGTGAGGTTAGCTGTGTTTGTTTTGAGGGACGGAAGCATGGAATTGTTGTTGAGAGAGAGAGAGTTGGGTTTGTCTGAGGTTTGGATATGGTATTGTTGGAGGGAGACAGAGAGAGGGATGACATTGTTGTAGAGAGAGGCGAGGGGGATATGGGATTGTTGGAGAGAGAGAGAGAGGGAGAGAGATTTAAAACTTGGTTTTGATCGCCCATTGTCTCCAAGCTTTTGGCTGGTTAGAGAGAGGAGGTTTCGATTTGAACAAGGGGGAATTCCAGCTCAAATAACGCGGGTTACTCCATGTCCACTTCTGGCCTTTCTCCCTCAAAGACTGAACACCACTCTCCCTCTCTCTCGCTCTAAAACGGTGAAGTCCATCTCTCCCTCTCTCTCTCTCTAAAACGGTGAAGTCCATCTCTCCCTCTCTCTCTCTCTTAAAGAATGAAAATAGCCCCTCTCTGGTGTTTCTCTCTCTAGGCGCCAAAAACCAGCGTCGTTCTGTTGTCCTGTCCTGTCCGTTTCTAATCTTTCTCTCTCCAGGTGTGGCGACCAGTCTCTCTCCATCCGAATATCGGCCTTTCGTCGGAAGTGGCCGAATTTAAGTGGTAATCTCAGGTGGGAGACGGTCGTATAGGTCATATACTTCAAAAAAAAAAAAACAAGTTATTACATGCACGTAGGAATTGATTTTTTTTTAGATCCGTATCAATTTTAATGATGTTTATTCGGGGGTTTTACGTATCAATGTAATGATGTTCATTAAGGGGTTTTACGAATAGGTGTAAAAGGGTTTTATAGGATCATTTCTCTTTCTAAAATATACAAATGAAAATTACCGATAATATCTTCCTAATTTTTTAAATTACAAAATATAAAAGTTGTTTTCGTAATTTACAGCATTTTCATTTTTTTTTTGTGTTTTTGTTGTATTCCTAAAGGGTTTTCTCTAACTACTCCTTTATTTTATTTTATTTTTAGACGATCTGTAAATGTTGAATACATTAAATATATACTCTATATCACGGAGAATTATGACGCTCTTTTCAATGCCACAATTCGCGGGTTGTAAACTTGTAACAAAATCTAGTGGTTGACGCCCTACGATACAAACTCCATTTCGATGCTTCCTAAAATGTAGGAGCACCAAAGTGGTATTCCCACTACCGCATACATTTCCATCTGCCGCTGTTAAAGAGAGTGGTACGGAATTAACAAGTTCATAACATGGACTTTTGGTATAAAAGGAAAATGGGGAAGGCTCCTAAATTACAAAAAAAGTTCGGTATTTTTGTAATTTCGGAGGGATTATTACTCACAAATTCTCTATATAAAAAGGGATTGGATTTTTAGTAAAACCAATAGTACTGTCTTTATACCATATTTTAAAAAAAAATGTTTTTATTTTTAATTTTCATGTATGTTAGACTCAAAAATTAAAAATATTATTTTTAAGTAAAAGATCTTCATCTTTTCTATCTTACAACCTCTAGATCTCTTTAATCAAAAATTTTATACTCAAACAAATACTAAAATGACACCCTATTCAAATTACATCTCTCTCTCTCTAAAACTCAATCTCTCTCTCTTCGCTTCTAGGTGAGTTTACCAACCAAGGGATTTAGCTTGAGCTCGAACACGAGCACATTTCTTATGTGTGAGAGAGAGATGGAGTTTTAGAGGGAGAGAGATGGAGTTTGAGTTTTAGGGAGAGAAATGGAGTTTGAGAGAGAGAGAGATAGATAGAGTTTGGGTTTTTATAAAGAAATGGAGTTTTGAAAGAGAGAGATGGAGTTTTAGAGAGAAAAAGAGATAGAGCCATTTTCATTAGTTGTTGCGGTCAATAATATATGATCAAAAGGATTTAAGAGGTTGGAAGATAGAAAATATGAAGTCATTTTGTTCACAAATAATATTTTTAATTATTGACTCTGACAAGATATAGAAGTTAAAAATATAGGATAATAAGATATTTTTTCAAATTTAAATGCCTGATTTTCGGAATAATTTTATAAATTATAATTTTTGAAAAAAAAAATGTTACTTTATTTCATCTTTTTAAAAAAAATTAAGAAAATTTTTCCAAAATACATTCTAAAATTACCTTCGTTCTCCTTTGTTATTTTTGTTTGGATTGTAAACTAAAATCTCTGTTTCTCTTAAAAGTTAATATAATTGAATTAATTTCGCCTTACACATATATATGCAAATACATATATTTACATCAACTCCATTTTTTGGGTCATACACGAACAAATCATCGCTTCTGTTTTTTCTTTTTGAGCTTTGCTCTCTTTGACATAACTTTGTAGCTCTATTTCTCCGTACCAATATCGAGTTAGCTGATTTCTTTGTTTACTGCTATATTGTAAGGAATATGAAAATAATAACAGATTTTAAAAGAAAAAATCACTCGTGCATCCCTCAACATTACCATTTTTTAATAAAGGACATGGTTTTTTATGAGTCCATGTAGAAAATAATCACCTCTTAAAAATCTATTTTTGAGATAGATTTTTGGACTTAATTTTAAAAGACATGTAATGTCTAATATGGAGATCATGAATATGGAAAAATAAATATATTTTAAAATTTTAAAAATAATAATTCTATTACAAAAACATTTGAACAGTGAGTATCAGTTATTTTTGGATGGATCACCTATTTGCATCAATATTTAAGATGGATGCTTTATACATTTTTATTTTTTTAAAAAAATATTTCCTAAAATTACCCTATTTTCATATATATTGAAGGTCCAAAGTTTGATACCTTTATTCAAAAATTGGGATTTTTAGGTCCCAAAGTCCTTTTCCTTTTTTCAATACAAAGCAATTTCAGAACCGCAAGGTGCGGAGTTACTAAAGTTCTTTTTTTTTTCCAACACCGGACCTTCACAATTCAGAACCTTAAAGGTTTTGTGTTGTAATAATAATAATAAATACATAAATAAAATAAAATAAAATCCTTAAGTAGCTTTTCACCCAAGTTTTAAACTTTGGACTTTTTAAGTCCAAAATAGAGATATATTGGAACCTTAAGAGTCTCGTCTTATTATTATTATTATTATTATAATAAATAAAATAAAAAATTGTAAGTCAATTTGATTCTAAAGAACCACACTTCGTTATAAACTAGGGTGAGGCCATAAACAATTAAATTAGGCTGTAAAATTCACTAGAAGAGGTTGTTTTGATTTTCAAAAATCTTCAAATCGATCGTCTCAACCTCAAGATATATGAACATGATAAAAAATGAGTTTCAAGTATTGGAAGAAATACTTATAATGTATTTTCTAGACCACCAATTTTCAAGATTTTCAAGTATTCATAAATCTTATCGGTCCACACTATTTCTAAAACTATAACTTTATTATTAAATATAAAAATAAATTTTCATGCTATCACAAAGATTTCCAAATCTTAAATATCTTTCGATACTATTTGAATGTGTGCCATTAACGTCAACCTCATACAAACCGCACCTTATATAAATAAATATGGGGATTTGACTTACGTATAAATGGGCGGTGGAAAGGGACATATTCTCCTTGCTCTCTCATATCCAAAATGACTTCTTCTTTTTTTAGAGCACGTATTGCATGTTTCCATGAGAGCATACTTTTATATACTTTAAAAGACCTATTTGGTAGGATATTTTTCGATCAGAAATTTTGAAAACCACCTAAGAGTCATTAGATGATTATTCTCAAAAGACAATTTTGAAATTTGAGTTTCTTAACATTTAGATTTCACATTCTAAAAATCGAGTGGCCCCTATTCAATCTTGAGACATTAGGGTATAAATAAAACAAATTTATTAAAACAAATATATAAGTCGAAGACCCAAAATTTGGAGTCATTAAATTAATCTTGATGGGATTTTAACCCGAGAGAGTTGATAGTCACTCCTACGCAAGTATAATTCTTTTAGCTTTTTTGGGTTCCAAGTAGATATTCTTAAATATTTATTGGAAAATAGTTGAACAGGTCCTCCATTGAGATTGTGTCTTTTAAAGAACCACATTTTGTTGATAAATGGATTGATTGGGCCAATCAATTTTTGAAGTGGGTTTGACAATTTTAGTCACATTTTCTAGAAAGGTATGATTTTGTATAAGGCGGTAGCCTTGTAGAAGTAAGGTTGGGATATAGAACACCGTCTATTTGAATTAATGACATAAATGCAATATGTATTTTAAGATAATATTAAAAATAAGAAAAATTATAAAAAAATCTACATTTTTTAAAAATATTAAAAATAAAACTCAAGTTTTCTAAAATCTTATTCATACTCTATTTTTCCATTATTTGTACTTTTTGACAAAAATAGTTTTTATGTTGGTCTCATGAAGGCATCATGGTCGCGACCTAGAACTCTTATGGTTGTGGAAAAAAGACCATGATGCTCTTAAAGTTCCAATACCCAAATAACTATGATAGTGTTTAAAATGACCTGATAGTCAAATGAAACATCATGGTGTCTCAAAGACTGTCATTTATAAAGAAAGCATCACGATACTTTACAAATTATGATGATTTTAAAGTTCTAGTACGTTCATAACCGTTACAATATTTAAAATCCTATGATGGTCAAGAGAAGCATCACGGTATTTCAAAAGCCGTGAGGTAACAAAAAAAGCCTCACAACACTCTACAAACCATGATGATTTTGAAAGTCTAGTATACTCATAACCATCGCGGTGTCTTAAACACCGTGATGGTCAAAGGAAGAATCATAGCCTTTAAAAGGCCATGAGACTCCATAATCTCTAACAACCCAATAATCAACACGCTGTTCAAAATTCTTTCACGATTCTAAGTTGATTGTGAAGCCTCACGAATCGAAGACTATCGTGTATTTTTGTCTAAAAACAACCTAAAATAATAATAAATAAAAAATGCATTATAGTAATGATCTTATAGGACCCTCTCCCACCTATATATATATAGGACTTCAAAGAATCACCAAAAGTTAGTACGAATCTCTAAAAAAGTTATCGCATGGGTATGAGATTTGATTTTTCTATAGATCTGTGCCAATTTTAATGGTAATCATTTCGGGTCATACACACATAGGTAGGGGAGGGTCCTATAGGATCATCTGACCTTTAGGATCATACACACATGGGTGGGGGAGGGACCTATAGGATCTTCACTGATGATTGATAATCCTATAGGATCCTCCTCCACCCATGTGTGTATAACTCCAAAGGATTACCATTAAAGTTATCCTATAGGACCCTCTCCTGCCTATGTGTGCATGACCCCAAAGGATAATGATTAAAGTTAGCATGGATTTTTAAAAAAGTTATCACATGGGTGTGGGATTTGATTTTTTTATAAATATGTATCAAATTTAATGATGATCCTTAATGTTGAGAAAGGTCCTATATGATCCAATAAAAATGATCTAAAGTATATTATCGTATAAGACTCTCTTCTACTTATATGTGTAAGACTAAAAGGACCACCACTAAATTTGACAAAAAAGGTCACGTAGGATCACTTCTCTTCTTAAAACGCAAATGAGCCACGTGCCCAAGGAGGGTCATGGCATTGGGAAAAAATATAACGTTTAATTTAGGATATACTCCCCTGTTCTTTTGACGACATTCGGTGATCTAAAGTATATTATTCTGTAGATTTGCTCATGCGTCCTGTTTCGATTCAGACACTCTTTACCCTTTTCCCACATTTTTCTCGGTATTCGTTCTCTGTTAGATATCTAATTCCTTCTTTTTAACACTTTATTTTTGTATTTTTCGCTCTCTTTCTTTCGTGTTTTTTCATCTCTGAATTTGTTCGTTTTGTAATGCCAGCCATTGTTCATTCCTTGTCTCTCTCTCATGGCATGGTTTGCTGAGAAAAATCGTTTCTCTCTCTTAGCTTTCTCTCTCGTCTCTGTTGGGTTTCTTTTCTTCGTCAAACATGAACTGGTACCCACTCTCTCGCTTAACAGAGATCTCTGGTTCAATTCCTCAAACTCCCTCTCACTCTTCACCAAAAAACCGAATTCAGTTCCAGTTTACACAACCCCAAAACCAGTCACCTCTGAATCACTCCTATCCAGTGATCAGAGTAATTATTCTATGAATTCTTCGATTTTTGAGACTACCCAAGTTGATATTTCGGCCACTAATGGCGTCCCTGTTGAAGAAACCACTCAGAAAGTTGGTTATTTGGAGGAAAAACCTGGTTTCAATGGAGAAACTGAGTTGGATATTGATGGGGCTATGGAGAAATGTGATATATATACTGGGAAATGGGTTAAGGCTGATGATTACCCCCTTTATCCACCTGGTTCTTGCCCTTATGTAGATGAGGCTTTCAGTTGTCAAGAGAATCGTAGGCCTGATGTTGATTATCTGAATTGGAGATGGAAACCAGATGGTTGTGAAATTCCAAGGTAGGTAAGGATTCCCCTCTGCTTCTTCCTTAGCCTCTCTCTCTCTCTTTTCAATAATGCCTTGAGGATTCTCTACTGTTAGCTCTTTGCTACAATTTCAAAATTTTTCATATAAGCTGAAATTATAAGTTAACTCATGGATTTGAGTACCGATAAGCATCATTGTACAAAGAGTGTGGATTTGAATACAAATGTTCTTATCCCATGTATTTTCTTAATCTCATATGACACCGGAGTTTTTTTTTTTTTCTCTTCTTAATTTCTTAATTGGAATGGGTTATATGGACCTAAGCTTGGAAAGGAGGAAATGATTGGGATCTATGGATGCTGCAATTAATTAACATGGTTCTTTAGATTTTATTTCATATCTTGCATACAATGCCTGTGTTGAGGATTCTCATAAATTGGATGAGAAATTTAATAAGGGGATGAGAGCTTTTGATTCTTTTAAACTGCCTCTATGGTTGGTACTGTATATTTCTTGCTGGAAATCATAGACAATACATTTTAAACTTCTTCAAACCAACAAAATTATTGGTACTTTTTTGTATTACTATCAATTATGGAATTCCTGACCATTTTGTCATCAATATGGTAATGTACATTGTAAGTTTGGATTCCTTGATTTCAAGTTTGTAGAAACGAATAAATGGAAACAAAAGACTGTTTTGTTTCTCTGTTTTTCATTCGTTATGTGCATGAAGTATTACTTGCTACAATCTCCATCCTTTGTTTGTGTGTAAATTTTTTTCAGTATATCAGGAATAGGATATACCCAAAAAATATCAGGAATAGGATCAATGCTAGGCTCCTATTGGGTTCCTCAGTCCATTTCAATCGTTATGGGTTGCACATCCATTCAAGGATGAGTTCTTGAGAACTTTCGAGAATGCAACATTGACGCTATCTTCCTTAATGATGGTCTTATATGAAGCATGAACTATGAATTGACATTGGCTGCTTATGAGCAGGCAAAACCAATGTTTTTCGGTAGATCAAAACTACTTCTGCAGTTTTTGTTTTTCAGTAGATCCAAACAAAAAAGAACCTATTCACCAGGTCAATTAGTGGCAGCTACACAGATGTAGCAGCACTTAGCCAGGTTGGTAGTCAGATATTATGGTGGCTTTTGTTGATTGTGCATATGTCAGGGGAATAATAGACTATAACTCGTTTGGAATCTTTGCAATGAAAAATTTTTGTTCTCATCAATGCAAATGAGGGATCAAATTTTAGTTATGGTTGTCGATATGATGTATATTTTGATGGGATGAACTGCTATAACTTTTTTTTTGGGTAATTAAACTGCTATAACCTGTTAATTGCTAAAACTGAATGACCAGCTCAATTGCATGATACATCTGATCCGTTCATCACGATCATCATCATTATCAAAGCCTTTTCCCAATTATTTGGGGTCAGCTACATGAATCTTAGTCCGCCATTCTGCTCTATCAAGGGTCATACCTTCTGTGGGGCCACAAGTCTCCATATCTTTTTTCATACATATCCTTGTGGGTCTACCTCTTGCCCTTTTTAAGCCTTCCACTTGAACTAACTCGCATCTCCTAACAAGTGCTACACTGGGTTTGCATTACACACCGATCTTCTTTCTCTCATCTTATCGCTTATTGGAGCCACACTTAAGTTCTCTTGAATGTACACATCTGATCTGGTAATGGTCAGATATGACATTTCACCTACCATCGGCATGTATTTGCTTGCTTAGCTTAGTAGGACTTTGCTTCCCTGAGCTTAGTCAGCTACAGTGGCTGTGGACCTTAGCTTAAAAACTAAGCATTTGTATATAGTTGGATTGATGTGAAAAATCAACATGTTCTTTTTAGAGCTTAAACGTTAAGCTCAAAAGGTTTATCAACCACTTTACAATATTTAATTCAAAGCAGTGTTAGGGGACTTGCGGGAGTCCACTCATACTTGGGCAAGTAACATGGCCTCATCCTAGTGGCAAGGTGAGTTTGGGGCGAGTTGGGTGTCCAACTCGCCCAACCCCAAAAACCCACAACAAATTATAAAAGATCTGCAAAAAATGATAAAAATCTTAAAGGGCAATGATTTTATGCAACTGTTGTACAGTAATATGAAGCAACAACCTTAAAAAACCATCCTATAGCCATTTGTTTGATCCAAAATTTGAAATATACGCTCTTTTCGTTCTAGTGAACAATCACAAAAAAAGAAAAAATTGAAAACACAACCTGTAAAGTATATTTTTAGCCCAATTAAAATAGGCCGTTCATTTTGGTGAGATGATTAGATCTAGATCTTAGAATGATTTTTTCATTTCCAATTTTTTTGGATGGCTTTAAAATCATTAGATGAACAATGTTAAAAAAGAAAAAATGATTTTGAGTTTATAAAGGCTTAAGATCTTGAAATTCACAAAATGAATGGTCTAAATTCGTTTTTGGAGGGGACTCATTTTGACCATATCTAGGGTTCAAATTGAACTTTTGTTTTTTGGGGATTGATTATTGAGATGAAAAGAGTATGTGTGCAAAATTTGAGGTCATACAAATACCACAAACATGGTTTTCTAGAAGTGTCGTTGCATTATACTATGATACAACCGTTGCATTGGATCATTGCTCGATCTTAGAAAATACAAAAAAAATAGTTAACACTAATAGGTCATTAGTAATATGTTTTTAGATGATTTAATAATTTTTAAGACGATTTGGGAACTTTCAGATTTTTTTAATTTTTCTAAAATATTCAAGGTGTAAATCAAGTTTTTTAATAATCCATAATTTATAGATTTTGTTTTCATCTTATTTAGTATTTTTTAACAAATTTTTATCCTTTGTTTTTGGTTTACACAGACTCAGCAGAGGTATTCTCCTCGGTCAAGGGCTGAGTACCTTGGCCGAGGCGATTTCCTAAACATCGATTCAAAGTGAGTGTGAAATAAGCTCTTGTATTTTCCTTTCTTAAGTTAAATTATTGATTGGATGAGTGACTTCAGGTCCCAGAAACATTGCATTTTCCTCTCATTGAAGTTTCGAGAGATCATTAAAAAGTTGCCTTGGTACATGATGATCACTGGTAGAGAAGCGAAGTTCCCAAATGTAATGTTACATTTCCTCGAGTTGAATCATTTGGCTCCATGGTTGTCTTTATTTTCACATAAATGGCAGCTCACTGTTGTCTAAGATACCATGTATTTTTTTGTTCAACTCCTGCACCATCATAAGCATGCAATTAATAGATTTATCCATAGAATTGGAAATCTGAAACTTTTTTTTTTGAAGTAAGTTAACTGGGAAGTTTGGAACTTGAGTGTGCAAAACTGCGTTATATGTTCATACCTTGTCTAATTGAAGGAGTAGAATTTCCTTTTCCTCAACCTATTATGCAAGCAAACTTCTGCCTCCTCCATATCATTAATGAAGTTTTCCCTCCTCCTTTCCTCTTCTTCCAAACGCTGCATTTCTATGATGTGAACTACCACAATAATCTACTTGTCGATCTGTCAAACTAAGTTTCATTTGATATTTGTATATGTATGTATTTGTGTGTGTACATGCGCACTCTTGTTTACCTTTTGCATGAATAAGGCTTTTTCCGAAAAGTGGGCCAGCTTAAGTATGTTACAGAATAGGAGAAATATATGGTAAGACTGTTTACCTTTGGTATGAAAAAGTTCATAATCACCTCTGACTGTGAAATGTGAAATTCGACTGCTGGGGGTGTACCATTGACCCTGTTCAAAGTCCAGGAAAATTTTCCTCGGACTTTGTTTGGAGTGTCAAGACACCCCAACCATCTGATTTTACATCTGAACCATTGGGATGTTCGTGACCCTTGTTTATGAAAGGTAACAGTCTCATTGTATACAATCCTTATAGTGAAGGCCTGAAACATTTTCCAAAACGTAATCTAGTACATAATTAGGAGGTAGCTACAGTGTCCCAATGTGATGGTGGGGACTAGCTAAAATTCATGGCATGTAGAAATTATTAGAATTGGAAGGAAAACTTCATTATTATTTTTTCTTGACAAGTCAAAAACACATCCCAACATTATTTTTTTGATGCGACTGTTTTCCACACATTATCACCTAATTTGTGTATGACTTCAATATTATTATCCGGAGGAAGAGAGAAAAAACTAGAGCTCCATCAATTGTCCATTGGTGCAAACTGCAAACTGCAAAGGATATGCTACAATACAAACCAAAATATGAAAAGCATGTGAACAAGCTGATAAAGGAAAAAAACTTCATTTTTGCAGAACAAATTCACTTAATATTGGAACGCCCTTGAGGAGAAGAAATCCCAGGAATCATAAAAGATACATGGTTTCCTATCTCTGGAATGATGCCTAGGACATTAGAGTGGTCTTGGGTTTTTACAGATCAAGGTCCTTTGACCCCCTAAGTTTCAGTATCATCCCTTGCCTATTATTTACTTGCCATTCTATACCCTTTCACCTTTTCCTTTGCTCTTCCCCTCTGTGGAGTAAGTTCCTGGTTATACGTACTTTGGGTAAACTTGATGAATATAATGTGAATTTGAAAGGCAAAAAAGGGGGGGGGAGAGAGATATATCATATTCCAAGTCCAATCTCAACTGAGATTGAGACTGATACATTGAAGTGAACATGACAGCTTTGTCTTCAAACTATCATGTGAACCATGCATTGATCATAATTTGGAGCATGAATTCAAACTACTTGGTTACAAACTTAGTGTCGCCTATTTGTTAATCCTCCTAATAACATCGTGATATTATTCTTGCCTTTCTATTTAGTTTTATGTATCACATCATTGCTTCTTCTTCCTTTGATTCGCAGGTTCAATGCAATTGATTTCTTGGAGAGAATCAGAGGTAAAAGACTGATGCTGGTTGGAGATTCCATGAATAGGAATCAGTTCGAGTCGATGGTATGCCTTTTGCATGAAGCTTTACCCAATAAGAGCCGGATGTATGAGAGACATGGGTACCGCATAACCAAAGGCAGAGGATACTATATATTCCAATTCATGGTAGTTCTTGGTTCCTTTATATGCACTTAAAACAGGCGCAATTGTTTTATCTTTTGCTTGGGCAGGACATTTTATTTGTTGGGTACTCTCTCTCCTCCCCCCCCTCTCTCTCTCTTTCTCTATCTCTATCTATCTACTATCTACTACTACTACTACTACTACTACTACTACTACGTACTACGTACTACTACTACTACTAC